GGGGCGGTGAAGGCGGCAGGCTGGAAGGACAGAGACCTGGGCCGGGAGTAGGGGAGGGAGGCAGGGAGGGAGGATGGGGGCCAGGTTTGGAGGGTGGAGGGAGTTGTGGAAGGGAGGGGTAGAGAAAGATAGAGGAGGAAAAGGGGCTACAAAGAGGCCAGAAAGGTATACGGAGAACAGAAAAGGGTGCTGAGAGGAAAAAAGAGACAAGAGGGTGGACCTAGAGGGGGAGAGAATGAGGAAAAGGAAAATGAGGGGGCAAGAGAATATTAGTAAATAGGCCCAGGCTCTACTTTGGGTGGTCTTGTGCTATCTCAGAAAGGTGGGGGGTTGGGGAGGGCTACTTAGCTCAGGGAGAGATGCTGGACTTACGTGTGCCAGCACAAGTCTGTGCTGATTTACTGCCCCAGGTTTCCGGGTGACTTTGCAAAGTGGTTTTCAGGGAAAGAAATAAAGAGCCGCCCTTATTTTTGGATTCGGTGAAGGAGGAAGACTTTAGAAATTGCCCTTTCTGGCACTCTAGACAAGCCTGCAGTTTATTGCTTTAGGAAAACACAAAGAAAAATCTGCGACCATCTGACGTTTAGGGAAAGGGACTCTGAGGAAACCACAATTCTATCTCGCGGCGGGGGGGGGGGGGGGGGGGGGATGTTGGTCATCCTTCCAGGAGGCCCCACCCCAGTCCTTTTTCTGGCACATTCGATCTTGCCAATTAAACAAAACTGTCCGGGTCTCCATCAGAAGACCCCCACAGATAGCATTCTCTGCTCTCGTTTGCTTCTCTGAGATCTTCCTAATTTTAAAACACGGACATTTGCCCATGCTTGCCCTCTACCTCCCTCCTCCTCCCCCCAACACACACTCACACTAACACACACTCACACTAACACAGGCGCAGCGCGGACTTGAGAATTACATTTAAGGGGAGGAAAGTCAACTGGGTTGAGGAGAGCTCCTTTTTAAACGTTGGTGGGGGTGGGGAGCGTGGAATTAGAGGTAGGTCAGGAGAAACCGGTGGCTGCAGGATCCCTTCAAGACCCCGGCAGAGTCGATGTGCACCACTGAAATTTTTTATTACTTTTAAAGTAGCAACTGTTCGCAGCCAGTCGGTGACCGAGAGGTCACTCTTGGACTGGACGGCCCCCCCCCTTTTTTTTTCTTTAGTGGATTTGCCTTCCACCCTTAAAGCTTTTAACAAAATAAAACTTGGAGTTGGATCTCGAATTCCCCACATGATAAACCTAAGTGGCAGACAATTAAGATATCTTCTTTAAAAGGCGCCCCCTCGAGCGCAAAGAAGGGGCCTTCAATGGGCGCCGTCCACCTTCCAGCCTAATCCGTGAGAAGGCGAATTGAAAGCGCCTCCCATTATCCCAGCCCCAGGACCATCTGACGCTGGGGATAGGATTTGTTTCCTGGAAGAAGGAGAAGAGAGGGAAAAAAAAAACAAAAAACAAAAAAAAAGGACGCTGGGAAATAAAATCATTCCTTAGTTTCTTAGTGTCTTAACCAGTGAGGCGGAAAACAAGCAAGAAAAGATAGCAACCCGGTTGCGGCACCTTTTCAGCTCCCGAGCGCGGATCAAAACATTGTAGCATCTGTTGAAAAAGAGACGGACTAAATCCTATAGAGGGCCTGGGTATTATGGGGGGTGGGGGTGAGGGGAGGAGTTAAGAAAAAGTGTCTCCGTGATCCCTAAAACCACCAAATCGCTGGAGAATTGGGGCTGGATAGAGTTGTCTCTTGTTGTCAGCCCACGTCGTCAGGATTTTATTCACCGTTGGCGTTGATCAGATGGAAACCATATTTGTTTCCCTCTGAGACCTAACCTCGCCTTATGCTTTTGGAGTAATGGACTCTTTAAAACCCCCAAAACAGCTTCCTGGCCGGGGAAAGAGGACCAGGGAGGGAGGGAGGGTGGTACTTCTTAGCGCCAAAAAGTCTGAGGATTCCAGGGGCCAGCCAGCGGAAGCTCGCCACCAGTGGTCCCACGGCCCCCACAGCCCCCACGCGGGGACTCCACACTCGGTGCAGGCAATGCGTGAGCCCCACACAGTGGGCAGTCCGTGCCCGCTGGACGAAGTACTCCAGCATGTCTTTTTCTTGGACGGAGGGGAGACTGGCAGTTGGTGTGGCAGAATTCTTTAGCAACTTGGCGCCAAAAAATTCCAAGCCCCTGAAGGAGCGCCACTTTCCACCTCAACTATCACCACCAGATCCTAAGCGTTTAGGTTCTTCCTTCCCGCCCTCAGGCTCCCGGCAGGACAAAAAGTTGCCCTATTCGGGTGCCGCCTCTGGTGCAAGTGGTGGGGCTGGCAAAGCTGCAGCCCTTGGCTTCTACCAGGGCTCCCGGGGGTTGGGGGGGTGTCCATGCTCTGGGCTCCAAATTACTGTGAGCCCTCGCGCCCAGAGGGCCAAGATGTGGAGGCCCCAGGCTCAGCTGTCCCAGGCCCAGCCACTGTGCCCCGCCCCTCCCCAAGTCTCAGACCAAGTCAGCTAGACTCGGCAGGGTCCAGGTCACCCGGGCCTCAGGCTGCAGGGTGCTGGGGGACAGGCTCTGGGGAGTGCGAAGTGGGATGCCACTCCGGTGTGTCCAGGGTGTGCAAGTGGAATCCTATAGTTTCAAAGGTCAGGTGAGGGTGTGATGGTCTACACTCAGCCTTGTGACTCCCTTGTCCTCACCAGAGGCTGGAGTGGGCCTGGTCCTGTAGCCGAGTTGGAGGCGGGGCACCTCCCCAGACGTACTGTACCCACCCTGGGAGGCCTGGGGTTCTGGGCCGGCCCAGCAGGCAGGCAGGGTCTCCCAGGGGAGCCGGGTCCCAGCAGGTCAGGAGGCCTCGGACAGCCGAGCAGCCGCGCTGGGAAACCCAGAGCGAGCGCTTTGCTCCCTATCTTCCCAGTGTCCGTCCTATATTGTTTTCTGCTCTTAAAACTGACATGTCTAATTGGCAATTGGTGCCGAATCGTGTCCAGAGGTCTCTTGTGGAACATTTCTACAGCTGTCTCCTTCAACTAGACGCTTATTCATGTCGCCTTAATGAGAAACAAAACGTTCTCTAATGAGCAATTACAGAGCGACAGGATTGTTCCCATAACAAATTCTTGCGAGTGACAGAAGCATCCTTTGTACCAGATATTTCGCATACTGTTACCGATTTCCCCTTCTCTAGCCCGGCTCCGCGGAGGCGCGGGGCACCAGGAGCGGTCCGAGACAGCAAGGACGCGACGCGCGGGCAGCCCAGTCAGCATCTCTGAGTCACCGCCCCCCATCCGGAGCCCCCAGGGTTGGTTGTGCTCTGGGGAGTGAGACACCACGTCCCATTATCTCGCATATTATCTCCTTGTCACAAGGACAACAAATACCGATTAATCTTCGGAGTAAACTGTTTCCTGTTCTTGACCAAGCTACCTCGGTGTGTGTAGAGGAGGGTAGAACTAACTGCCTCCATCCTTTCTCACTGATTCTGGAATGATCCAGATCTCATCTCTTCTCGCAGCTCCGGGCACCCCAGAGTCTGGCTCACAGTATCTTCACTCCACCCTACTAAGCAGTCGCCACCCACAGAGAGTGAGAGCTGGGGACCAGGAAGGGTGGAAGGTGTAGGAACGGAGATGGTGAGAGAATGTTTTAGTTGGGAGACCACTACTTCCAACGCCCCCATCCTCCACTCGGCCCTGCATCTCTCTGCTCACCCTCTCTCATATGCACCCTACTCATAGTTACATAATTTGTCAATTATGGCAAAAAGCAAAATGATACGATTATGTTTACCTTACAGTCTGTCAGTGTGTTAACTTGTCACACTTCTACAGCAAGGGGGCTCTCCGCGCATTCGAATGGTAAATTTGAATAGGTTACCACGCAGCTAGCTCTTAAACACATGCACATACTCCTGCCCATAACACACACGATCATGCACACACATCAGCCACATTCATACTACTCCTCACATACACAACCCTTACATTCCCAGGTCAACCAGATAGTTAAGCAAACTCCACAAGCCAATGTATCCAAAGCATTTGAAGAGTCCCCCCACCACATTCTCCAAGTACAGAGGCTGCGAAAGAGAAAGGTTGGGGGGGAAGAGAACGGGCTGCATATACAGAGAGTGTAGATGATGGGTGCTTGGGTTTTTACCTTGGGTAGGTTGTCCTGGCACCGAAGTCCCGGGATACCAACCCGGGCGGGTGCCCCAGCTTCCGGTCTGCCCGTTCAACATCCTTAGTTTATCATACATGCCGTCTGCGCCCATCTGTTGCTTTTCGCTAGCCAGGTTGCGAAGAACTCTGTTTATTGATGACACCTGCAAAGCAAACCAAAATCAAACCAAATGGTAGCGTCTCCTGAAGACAGGGTTGCCTTGTATTAAGTCCCCATCTCAGCATGCCCACACCCTTAAAGAACCCTTAACACACTAAAAAACAACAACCTCCCAGCCATCCTGGGACAGTGGGTAGATTGCAGAGACATTGTGGACAGAATGACAGCCATCATTTTGGGCATGGGAACTGTGTTGGGTCACAGTTGGGGGGAGGGGGTCCTTCACCATTGCTCCATGTATCTGGTGAGCTAACTCACATGGCTGCTTTGCTTTATTAAAAGATTCCACCCCCAAATTAGACTCGGTTTAGAGATTTTTTCCACTTTATTTGTTTTATATTAGAGCAGAAATAGATGTTTGATGCCTGAAAGAAGATTCAGGCCGGTGGGCTTGGAGGAGGTTAGAATCTGGTTTTCATTTTCATTTTCCCTCTCAATTCAAAAGCCTTTCCCCAGGGTGCCTATGTCCTCTACTTTGCAGCATGCAAATGAGGTGAACAACTCCCACCCTTGACTCCCATTTTCTGTAAAGTCAAAAAAAGGTCGGGATGCTCCTCTCAACAGCCCCAGGTACAGAGGAGACATATGTAGAGCCAGGAGGAGATAGAGACAGAGAAACACTGATAGGGAGCACAGCAGGAGGAGGTGAAGAAAGATATATGGTCAAGAGGACAGAGCATGGAGCTTAGGGCAGGGAGTGGGGGATGTTCTCAATGAACTTACACTTGGTATGTTATCGTTGGTACAGACCCCCTCAGACAGTAATCTGTCTCGGATTTCCCAAGCAAAGATGGACGGGCACTCCCGCTTATACTGGGCTATTTTGCTTACAACTTCTGGAGTCGCTACTCTCGGCTTACTACCTCCGATTGCCCTGGGTCTGATGGAGCCAGTCTCGTAATACCTGCCCAGAATTTTACTCACACATCCGTTGGACACCTGCATAGGGGAAGTGGACAGAAAACCACATTATTAATAATTTCAAGACAAAAATAAAATTGTTTAAGTATGCATTAAACAATGACAAGCTTACGTTTTGATTGTCCAGCACTTGGACTTTTGCATCTGCATGGGTCTATAACACAAAAATATACCTTCAATGGTACGAGAACTTACTGTAGAGAGCTTTTTTCTTAAAATTACATTTGTAGCCCTAAAAACTACAAATATGATGATACTTTCAAACAGTTTGAACTAAAAAAAAACTAAAAGTTTTTTTTAAAAAACTGTTTTCTTAAACACTGCCTGAAGATGCATCAAAACGAAGTCAGATTCATTTTTTGTGCTGACCTTGCTTAAAGTGGTGTTATGTTTTAAGAGCAAAGAGGAAAAACAAACTGAATTTTAACTTATTTTTCCTTTTAAAAAATACCCAGTTGAGTAAATGTCAGTTAAGTAGGGAGGTAAATGGCATTTGTCTTTTTAAAATCAATACATATTCTTCATGAAATGAAGAATGCAAACAAATATCTCAATATCTGAGGTAAGCATGGGATGAGAGAGAAGGGAGTGAAATTATGCTGGTTTTGTAAAACTCAGCTTATTACAGTTCATAAACTGTTATCACAATTAATTTTTTACCAAATAAAAAGGGAAAGGATTTTCTTTTTTTAATTCACACACTTTTTTTCCTAAAGCGGATGAATGATTTTAGGTGACTGACCCAAGCTGGAAGAGAGAGGGAAGGATGGTGGAAGGAAAGGGGAAAGAGGGAAGGCAGGGGAGTGGGGTGGAGACTGGGGTGGGTGGATGAGGGTGGGGGGTGTCCATAATTAGCAGCGTTTACAGTAAGAAATGAAGAGAGGGCGTTGAAAGTAGAGGGCCGCAGGGGCAGCGAGTGGGGCGGCGCCGGGAGGATCACCTGCAGAATTCGGGAAATGTCGCACGGCCGGGCCCCGCTGTGAGCGAGCTCTACGATCTTCTGCCGGGTGGAGTCCGGCAGTGGCCGCCCGTTGACAAAGACACCACCGAGCTGATTCACTCCGCTGTGACCTGAGGAGAGGAGAGGAGAGGAGAGGAGAGNGAGAGGAGAGGAGAGGAGAGGAGAGGAGAGGAGAGGAGAGCAGAGGAGAGGAGAGCAGAGGGGAGGAGAGGAGAGCAGAGGGGAGGAGAGGAGGAAGAGTAAAGAGAAAGACGAGGGAAAGGAGGTCGAGGAAGAAAAAGGAGAGGAGAAAACATCTACAATGCATCCTCAGCTCCCTGCCAACCCCTGCCAACCTCGGTGATCAGGTCCCTGCTATCGATCAAAAACGACAACAGGACCATGCAGCCAAGCGGAGCATCGGGCAGCCCAGCCCCAGACACGGCTGTGCTCCTGCCCACCGGACTGCAGAAGCACCATACAGGTAAACATATGCCAACTAGCAAGAACACACACACTTCACTATCGCCGTTACCCCCAGCAGTGCCCCCAGCCCGCGGCCGCTCTTCATAAACACCCCAGCCAGACTCTGAACCCACAAGGTGCAAACAATCGGCTCCAAAAATATCCTCCCAAAGATCCCCTCTGAGTGTCACGGCAAACCGTGGTTCCACAGAACCCACACTGAATTCCCAAGCTCTCGGCATTGTTGGAACAGTGAGAGCAAACCCCACAGCCCTTCAGCACTCCCATGGACGCTCCAGTCCAGAAACGTTTGTTGTCACACTCCAAACTCTGGCGAAGGCACAACACAAGCACCAGGGTTAAAAACACAAATATAGACGAGAAGGGGAAGGAGTAGAGAAGAAGCAGAACAGCAAATCTGTGCCTAGCGAACCCCAACCTGGGTTTCCGCGCTTTCACTGCAGGCACGAGGGTCAGAGTCCCAGATACGCCCCAACCACAAAGTAGTCCCGCTGCCGCAGTGGGGCTGGACCAGGGAGTCTGCTCGCAGCCAGCACAGCTCGCTTTAGTTCCACTGCTGATCTCGGCTCCCCCCTCAGCCAAGGACAGGTATTACTAAGAATCCAAAAACGGGGGAAAAGGGGGGAAAGAACACACCACAGTGTCCACTGTCCCTCCTTTATCTTATTATCTCACAACCTCACCCCATTGTCTAATGGTAAAGAATAGGGAGAAGAAGTTAGCACCTCTCTGTAGCCTCCTTCCCAGAAACCACAGGCACACAAATAGAGCCAACTGCCAATTTCCACTCTTAAAAATCTCCAACCTGCAGCCCCGACTCCAGAGAGCAGCCCTTCCAGGAGAAGACGCGGCTCCCTGCTCCGCTCTCCTCTCTGCGCCTCTCCACTCCTCTCTTCTCCTTGGAGCCTCTGATAAATTGACTCCAGGAGCCTGAGCTTCTTAGCAATAAATAAGCTCCAAATATAGAAGAGGGGGGAAAATATGATGAGCCTCTCTGACATTTGTCTTTAAAATAAAACTAGCTGCACGTCAAGTTTGAGCTTAATTTCTGGAAATAGGCGGAAGTCGCTCCGTATCATGCATGGAAGGCTAATTGAAAAGATCAGTCGGGGCGCTTGTGGCAGCCTTGTCACTTTGTGACAGTGCTCCGCTCCGGGAAATTGCATCGTCACGACAAACGGGACCGTGATAAAACGACCCTTTCCGTCCCTATTTGTAGATCACTCAGAGGAGATTGAACTGCACTGTTTCCCCCTTCGAGGGGCACCGTGTTTTCAGGGTAGCCAAAGGCTTGGGGCGGAGGGGGGCCCTCACTGAGAAGGGGGGACCAGAGCCTCAACTCGATGAGAAGTGACAGGCGTTTGGGGGATCTGGGCACCGGGCGGGGACATTGCGGGGACACTGTTTCTACAGCAGAGTAAGGCCTAGTCCGCGCTTCCGGTTTCTCCTAAGTTCCCTTAATACCTTCCTTTGCTTCGCTGGACCCATCTACCGCTCCAGCTGCCGAGCCTCCCCTTTGGGCAAAGGGAGTCTTCCAAGAAAGAGAAAGACTGTCCCAGAGACCGAGAAAGACTTTCCAAACTTCAAGCACAGCCCGGGCAATTCTCAATCTATGAATGCCAAGGCGTGTGGGGCCGCCTTATCCTAGACTTTCCTCCTTCTCTCCTCCCCATTGCAAAAAATAACGTGCCCACCACTTCCGCAGCAACCTCGGGCGGGTGCACACCCAGGAGACTCCAGGGCCAGGTCGCCTTTGCCAGCATAGAAATGGCAGCGAGGAAACGCTGCTCTAAGTTCCCCTTCAGAGGTTAAGCCTCAATCATTGTGTCCCTTCCCTGGGGACGGCTGGCGCTCTTGCCGAGTGGCGATGATTATGCGCCTAGAATTCGACCGAGAAGCATCTAATAGGAAAACATATGGTGTCAATTTGGATGCTCCGCGCCTCGCGCACACCCGGGAGCGAGCGGCACAAAGCCCTGCAGGCCGGCCCCCGACCCCGCGCCCCTCGGGGCCGTCCAGCCAGGCCGCAGCGGCAAAACGCTCAGCGCTGTGCGCTGTAGCCAGGCCTGCCCGAGAGCCTACGACTGGGGAGACTGAGCTGCAAGGGGAGAACCGCGCAGCCAAGAGGGGTGGGCTGAAGCCTTCAACTCACCAAGAAGGGTGCCTCCCGGGCCAAGCCCCGGGGTCTGGCAGGTTCTGCCCAACTAACCTGCCTTAAAGCTCGCCACCTTTGCGCCCTCTCCTGAGCTTCGTGCCCACCAGCCGCGGAACAACCAGGAGGCAGCTAGTGGTTCCAGGACAGAAGGATCGGGCTCAAGAGACCCTCCTAAGTCTGCAGTTTGGCAAGCGAAGGTTGCTAGAAGACTTAGGTCTTTCTGCACTCCTACTACAGCTGAGCCCCTAAACCACGTCCAGACTCCGCACCTCAACCAGGGCCTGATTTCAGTGAGCCTCCAGGCTCCCAGGCCCAGGATCCAGACTAGCCCTGTCACATACCAACACGCATGGACTGAGCAGGAAGGTGGACTGGGGGTGCAAGGGATCTGGATAGAGGTAATATTGGGAGCACAGGAGCCCAGAAATCAAAGGCACAGCGGGTCTAGGAAAGACCAGGACCCACAGAGTTGCAACTACCAGGACAGGGTTCTTCCATCTCCTTGGCTCAACCTCCACTCTCTTCCCAGACCCAGTAAACCTGCTCTCGCCAGACTAGCCCCGTGTAACAGCCCCAGAATTCCAGTTTACCACCGACACCCCACCGTAGGCCTGGGTGCCCTGCTCCCTTTGCCTTCTAGGCCCAGAGCTGGGGTGGGGAGGGGAGGAGCTGCCCTGAGAGTGACTGGGGGAGGAGGACCCCTACCCCCACCCCGCCTGGATGGTAGAGTCATTCAGTCTTGTCTAAACCCAAAGAGGCCTCCTTCTCTGGAAAACCAGAAAAGCCTCCGCCCCTCCCTGCTCTGCCCAGCCCCTCTCTCTGGGGTCAGAGCCCGGGCAGGGGCGGGGAGGGGTGTGTATTACAGGATTTGGGGGGATGGGGTTTCTCTACCTCAACTTCGCAAACTCAAGCGAGCTGTTGTGAAGGGCCAAGCCCCTGTTCTTCCAGGAGCGATAAAGGCAGAACAAACGCCCTCCCCTCTCCGGCTGCCGGTCTCCGAGAGGGACACAGCTGACTTGAGTCCCCAAGGCTTTTACCCCGTGCCGGGGTACCTGGCAAGCGCAAACGCCCCGAACCTCTGCACACTCCCCTAAGGTTCGTGCATCCCCAGCCGGGTCAGAGAAAGACCAGAGGCACTTACTGTTCTGCATGCTGGCGCTGGCTGGGGGCTGTGGGATCCCACGGGGCTCGAATATGGGGCTCTGTTAGCAAGAATATAGGCGTTAATCCTGGGCTCGCATCAGGTAGGCCTACCTCCCTACAGAGGATGACCTGGAGCCAGGACAGGAGAATGCCCCTTCTTTAGGAAACGATCCACTCAATCGCTTGGGGAAGAGAGATCTGGGGGTCATCCAGCTCTGCCCTCCAGTGCATGCAAAATCTACAAATAAAATACTCCAATGCTCCTCATCTGTTTCCCCCCAAATCCTTCAGTAGTTAACCCTTTAATCGGGAGAAAGGCTGACTTGATTTTGAATATTTTATTCCATCTGAACAATGAAGCAGCATTCTGACTCTTTAGGGTTTTGGAGCCCAAAGCAGCTTTCGAGCCACCGCAGAACTTGCCTGAAATCTGGGATGTCTGTCCACTCTTACAATAAAAGGTCTCACACATCTGCGCGCCCCTAGTTAAAGTCTTCCCCCTAAGATAAAACAGAAGGAGAGAAAGGTATGTCAAATTGTGGCTCAAAAGCATAGGCCCATAGGTTCTCAGAGCCACAGACTCAGGGAAAAAAAACCAAACACATATCTAGGGCTCAAACTGCTATAAAACCCTAAATCCCAGATTTGCACCCACATTTTCTTTAGCGGCCTCTCCTGCAGAAATTTTAGAAGTGGCTGCTCTGGCCTGCTACCTTCGGAGAATTGGAGAATCTGACAAGTCGGCATCTCATTTTGCAAAACTATTCAGATCCAGGGGTGGGGGAAAAGGGAAGAATAAGACATGCAGTGGGGTAAAGAGAAGAGGCTGAGGACTAATACCTGAAGTTAAGAGGTGAGGGGAAGGGGACCTCAAAACTTCAGGGTGCCTGAGGGTGCAGACTGAGGTTGATTAGGACGGCTGCCGAGTTATACTCCCTCCTTAAGGAATTTCACCACTTTAGTTGCCCCAAGACCCCCAGAACCCAACTCTCTGGTTACCCCTTTATCTTCCACTCGCCCCTTCAAAGCTTCCCAGTCAGGCCCCAGCTCCACCCATCTCCCAGCCTTTCGGGTGATTTGAATGTGGCGAGCCCAACATTTTCTCTCCACACCTCATTTATTGTGATTAACTTCTCTTTTGGTGTTTAGATCTTCCTCCTTTTACTGTACTGTGACACACGCTGTCTACCTCGCCTCACTGCTTTAAAAAGTACAAACAGGAGGGGGTGAGCGTAGTCGACAAGGCCTACAGACAGCGAACAATGGCTTCTATTCTCCAGCTCTCCCCAAACCCAAAGAGCAAAACCAAGTCTCCCTAAGCAGCAACACAGCTTCCAACCACACGTACCATCAACCCACCAACTCACAAAGGGAACAGAGGGACACTTCTAGCTTAGTAAGTCCTGACCTAGTATGTGTCCCCCAAGGCTCACACTCCACCACCTCTTCCCTGCCGTCCCCTAAGAACAAGGTTCTGGGGGAGGAGGGAGAAAATAGAAAAGTAATTTCTTGTTATAAATATCTAGAGGTAATTGTGTTACTGGTGTGAGTTGTTAGGGGCTGTAAAAAGATACAACGGCACCGTGGGGAGCTCAATTGGGAAGAGAGAATTACAATAAAGAGCCTATTCAGAGGTTTGGGAAAAAAAGGGAGAGAGAGAGAAAGAGAAGTAAAATAATTAAATAGTCACAGCATCATTTCTCCCGGTTAAAAAAACAAAAATATTAATTCTTTTTCCTGTTTTGTTTATTGTGATTATTAATTTTGCCTGCCTACAAGAAAGGAATTCCAAGAAGCACATTTTTTCTCTCCAAGGCCATTCATTCATGGTCTAATTTATTAACTAGCTAGGAGGCAGCTTAAATCCATAAAAAATAAACTTAAGAAGGGGACTTTTTTCCAGCTTCCAAATGCAGCCTGGTAAATATTGGAAATGGCAGAGGGTTACCTAGTTATCCCTAGCTGGGTTGGCTCTCAAAGCCTCCCTCCCATTTCTTACAGTCCCCACGACCAAAGTCATGCCCTGGCCAGGCAGAAACCCCAACTTAGAGCAGTTCCCAATCCCTCAAAATGGGACTCTGAAACTGCAAAGAGGTAGCAGGCAGGAAAAGGGGTAGGGGAATTCCCTTAGAACGGGTAAAACTTCTTGAACTCCCCTCTGTTACCCACTCTGTACTCAAGCACAACCGAATGCCCCCATCCTGGCCAGTACATTCTTGAGGCCATTTAAAAAAATTCAGGAGCTGATTCCAGAGAGGACTAACCGATTAATTTTCGAAGCATCTGGGAAGGTGGAAGCATTTCAAGTTCCAGTTCTGCTCCATTCCCGACCCCTTCTCGGCTAAGAGGCTATCTAATTACTTAAGTAATTATTAACACTTAGTGCAAAAGCAACCCGGGACCCCAGCACGCTGACTCCCGGAAGCAGTCTTTCGCGGAGAGGCTAGGACCACCCGNCACGCCCCCGCAGCCACAGCCAGTGCCCCCCACCCAGCTCAGCCCGTGACTTCCTACAGCCACGCCAGGAAAGAAGGAGTCTCCACACACCTGAGAGTCACCACGGCTTTGGTCCACTAGGCCACTGCCTCCCCCATCCCCAACACTAGCCTCAGCTTTCAAATACTGCTGTTTTCATGACTTCCTTCTCAAAATCCAACCCCAAACTCCTTAGCTTGGGTGAAGAGGAGAGCTTACTTTCGGCCCTCCCAGCCACCAGCCAAAGAATAATTAGCAATTAAGATGACAAAGTTTTACTCTCTAGAGCCAAATAAGATAACTAATCAAATTGCCTTCAGACGTTTGCAAAGGTCACCGGCTATTAAAAACAACAACAACAACAAAAAAACCTAATGTCAATGGCAACCACAATTATTTCTTCTCCGTAAACTGCCAGGCTTTCAAACTCTTTGCTTTTTATTTCATTTTCTGCTCCCGCCCCCTTTTCAATCTCCCCAAGTTCGAGTTAAACATCCAAAATGGCTTAGGGAGCTTTGTAGAGTATGAGAGAAAAGGATACCACACTTACTTTGTTTTTAAACTTTCTAGAAATCACTCAAGACTGGAGGGCCGGGGTTTAGCACTCAAAAAAAGAAAGCATTTCCACTTGAAATTCAACGCCATTTCCCCACAATTACACTTGCTAAAATTCAGGGCTATTATGGTGCAGGGAGACTGAGAAAATCTGCACAAGGAAAGAGGCAACAACTTTATGAACTTTGAAAAGACACTTTTTCTCCTGGGGTCTTGCAATCAATCGGAAAGCTCTCAAATTACTCAGACTAATTAGCTGGGAGATGCTGTGATCAGACGAAAGGGAAAGCCAATGCTTTCATATTGATTTTTTTAAACCTCACCAAAAAAAAAAATCAGGGGATTTGGATGTAAAAACAAAACAAAACAAAAAAGCAATCCACCTTTCCACCTCCAAACTTGTTGAAATGGCAACACCGGGTGCAGCTTTGTCAAAGGAAGACAAGGAAAAATACCCACCGAGCGCTGGGGGCTGGAGAACAGGGAAGACCCCAGCTTTCGCAGGGCGAGGGCGAAGGTTGGGGGAAGTCTGGGGAGCAGAGAGTTTTCATGTTCCGAGCTCTGCGCTCAAGTTAGGGGCAAGAGCCTGGGGCTTGATGGAAGCGGACAATCCTTCCTCTTAGCTCTGAGCTCCCTCCGAGCGCGCGTTCGACCGCTTTGGCCTGGTGGCTTCCTTCCCCGCTCCCGCTCACTCGCTCTTTCTCTTCGCCTCCAGCGTGCGGTTGCCTTGCGGATGGACTCTGTTCCGGCTGGCGGCGGGCGCGGTGCCCCTCGGTGCTCGACTGCCAGCGGACTTCTGTGCCCGGGGGGAATGCAGCACAAAGCCGGAGGGCGGGCGAGCGAACCGCAGCGCAGCAAGCCAGCTCCCTCGCCGCTTTCTCGGCACGCCCGATCTCTGCGCGTTCGCTGGACAAAGCAGCCGGCGGCGGCTGGTTCCTGCAGCCGTTCCTGGGCCTGGGGCACCGCAGAACCTCTTCGTCCTCTCCCGCAGGCCGGGAGCATTTGGCGACGCTGGGGCCGGGAGCCCCGGCTGCTGCTGCGCCCGGAGCCTCGATTCTTCCTGCGAGCTCAGCCCGCGCTGGCGCTGGGGGTGAGCCGGCCGCCCACCCCGAGCCCTACGCCGCTCCCGCTCGCCGGCCGTCGCCCTCCGACGCGGGCTTTCGCTGGAAGTACAAAGTTTGGGCTCCTGCGTGGAAACTTCTCCGGCCCAACTCTCCCGGCGTAGCAGTGGGGGAGGGGACCGGCGAGAGGGGAGGAAGGGGGAGGAAGGGGGAGACCTGCCTGAATATTGCAATAAAATGAAGCGAGAAGAAAGAAGTGGACTCACCTTTATGAGGCATCCTCTCTCGTCAAAGCTTCTGTCAAGAGTTTTGTTTGGTTGGGGTTTTTTGGCTGTTGTTGCTGCTTAAAGACCACGGTTTGAAATGACGGTGTTTTAAAGGAGTTGCTGGTGCGAGTTTTCTCCACGGATGCTCCTGGTTTGGTGTGTGAGAGCAATTCTCAGATCCCTGGGAAGGAGACAGAGATTGACAATAAAATGGGCTGTCAGCGGCTGGAGAGTGAGAGATAAAGAGTGTGGGTGAGAGAAGTGGCTGCAGCCAGCACACCTATGCTGATTGGTGATGGCTCAAGTGTGTTAATGTGTGTGTGCCGGCGCCCGGCCTCGCCTCCACCGCTCCTCACTGGCCCATTAGCGAAGCCTGACCTCTGTCATCATCCTCCAGCAAAACACTTCCTCCTGCGCCTGAACCAGAGCGGGAAATGAGGCCGAGCCACGGTTCGCTTTTCAAACCCACTAATCACTCCGCAACATGCAAATGTACCGCTCGCTCCCACACAAAATATTGCTTTATGCAAAGCAGCGCCGGGGCCTCGCGCCAGCCGATTGGATGTTCTCTCTCCCCGCCTGGTGCAATTGGTCCGTTTGTTTGAATATGAATACACTTGTTTTCGGCTCCGGCGGAGGGTCCTTCTCCTCTCCCCGGTGCTGGGCCCCCGCGCCCAGGCTCTGGATCTGGCGCTCGCCGACATCTCTAGGCTCGGAGCGCTTCGGGAGTCAGTGCCGCCCGCACTGTGGCCGCGAACTTGAGGGGTCGAGTGAAGGCCGCTAGGCTGGGGGTCGCACCCTCCACCTCCCTAAGCTGGGCGCGGGACTCCCAACTCAAGGGGGGGAGCAAGTTTCTGCAGCTCTGCGCAGCTCTTTCTTGCCAACTCCAGCGCAGCATGGCCTGCCGCCCCGCCCCCGTCCTCCCCTCCCGCCCCTGCCCCATCGCCTCCTGAGCGCTGGGACGCGGAGCACAGCAGTGGCCGCGCCCTAGCACACCTGGCTGCAGTGAAGAAAAGGGACGTCAGCGGCACGGGGTCCCCGCAGCATCACTACGGCGGAGGCCCAGGCGAAGCCTAGGCCGAGAGAAGGCCTCTGGGCTGGGAACTCGGCGAGGCCGGGCGGCCTTCCCAGTCCAGGCCTCCCGGGCCTGCCCATTCCCCCACCCTCGCTCCCCCGGCCCTTTCTTCTGTTCTTTCTCCTTTCGGAAGCCGCGGTGCGCAGCGGAGCGGAGGCACAGACGGGCTGGAGAGGCCCGAGCAAACACGCCACTTACTTTGTGTACAGAGGGTTCTTGTGAAAAGCCCTGAAGAGTCCTCACCAAACACTCACCAACTTCTCCCACGTGCCATTTGTTGACTAAGTGCGGCTGTTTTTCCAGGCTCCCGAGAGCAGGGGACGCCAGGGGGAGATAAGAGGGAGGGAGGTGACCAATGCTGGGAGTGTGTGTGTGTGTGTGTGTGTGTGTGTGTGTGTGTGTGTGTGTCCTCGCCGGCGATGTCGGTGTGTCAGCGTGTGTCGGTGCGTGCCACCGGTTATCTGTGTGTGGTGCGTGTGTCTCGTCACCACGATTCCTTTTCCTGGGTCTGCTCAGTCCACGGAAGCAGTTCCCCTTCAGCTGTTGCCAGAAAACCGGGGAGGAAAGTAAGTAAATGGCTTTTATCTTCTGACCACACACCAGAAGTCCATTTGTTGAATGCTGGACGATTAGGACACACCTCAGTACACTCCAAAGGCGCCCCTTGGCGCCCCGCAGTTGAGGTGACAGGCGAGGGAGCGGCCGCCTAGTCCTGCGAAGTCCGGAGCTCTATCGGACCTTGCACGCCGTGTCTCCGAGGAAAGGGGAAGTTTGGGGATGGGGGACATACTCCAGGACCCAGCAAAGAATAGGGTTGGAACAGTTGAGGCAGGGAGGCTGAAACAGCTACCACCGGGTACTCTTAACTCCTCTTGACTTATGAAAAGTACCGAAAGTCAGAGCTCATCAATAAAGTCTGTGTACCCTGAACTCGCGGCTGACAGCGCGGTAGCCACCCCTGGGAGCTGAGCCCAGGAGGACTGCAGTTTGCCTTGGGCTGCCGGGCCTAGTATAGGCCTCACACTCTCGGCCCCTGCCGGGACCTACTAACGCCACGACCAAGGAGCTTGGGCAGAGCTCAGGAAAAGCGGAGGCCTCCCCAGCTTGTGCCAGGGTTGAGGCCGCACAACCCGCTCACCTCCTGGGCCTGGGAACCGCCATTCCCGCGGCCCAGGAGCACTCTGCGCCAGAAGAAAACATGCCAGAAGCGAAGTAGGTGGCGCCAGGCCCCGGGGTCAGCGGCCTTCTATGCGAGATTTCGTAGGACCGCGACTTTTCCCGATCCTGGGACGTGGGACAGTGGACCCAAGTCCCAGACCAGAGAGAGTCTGCGTTCTTTTTCGCTCCCTTTTTTACTTCTCAAACAAGCATTAAAGAAGCTTGAACTCAAGTCCACTGGGCATAAGCGAAGGGGTGGTGGGGAGGAGGCCCAGATTCTGTACGAACTGGAGGCGAATATCATTTTTACAACCTGTCAAATTAGCAACCGAGTGGATTAGCACCTTCTTAAGCTTTGCCTCGGAAAGAAGCCACCATAATCTTGTTGCTATTTCCCCCCTGGGCACTGGCTCTTTGAATGGGCTCCTTCTCCCACCCCCCAATCCCCATCTCACCTCGGAGAAAAGTTTTAACAACAAAAATCGTAAGAAGCGAGGAGCCTGGATTGAATGCCACTGACGTCATTGGTGGGGGGTGGGGGTGGGGGCTCGGGAAGGACTCTTGGAAATCCTTCTGCACAAACAAGAAACAAAAACGACTTGGCTGCTTCCAGTGTGTCAGTATGTTTTGGAGGGGTAGCAGCTCAGCCCTGAGGGAGGCAGAGTTTTCAAAGTTTAAGGAGAGAGGGGTGGAGAGCGAGATTTCCTGTTCTTTCTGGGCTAGTTTCAAAGTGGGTGGGGGTTCTGTTCTACCTCGTGGGGCGCCTCGCGCACTCTGCTAAGTGTTCTGGGGGCGACGCGGCTGGTCAGAGGGGCTGGGACGGAGGTGCAGCGCGGCAGGGGCAGAGGTGTGAGCAAAATTGAGACCGCTCGCAGGTCGCCATTTTAATTGTGGCTTCCAACACCACGGAGGCCCACATGCTACCCTCCCGAGGCGGGGGCGGGGGACGAGCGGGATCGCGACTTTCGTTTCTGTCTTGCCTTTTCCTTTTCCCGCCTCTCCCCAAGACCACCCCCATCACGCCCCCCACCCCCACCCCGCTTTTGGCGCCTGAGGAGGACAGCTCTTCGGCTCGGTTCCGCAGGGGCTGGGGTCATCCCACCCGGTAGGGGGAGGCTATCTGTGCGGAGGGAGTCTCGCGGGGGGCTGACCGATCACCAGAGAGTGCCCAGAGCCTCTGGCCAGTATTGGTTGGTAAATGTGAGATCAGGCTGCATAGCATCTCACCCCCCAGAAGTCCTAGACATTCGCTTGTGCCCACTCCCTAGATTTTCGGTCCGAAGGCGGCCTCTGGCAAGGCAATGACGTGCCCGGTTTTCGGGAGATGTGCTTTCGGCGCACGGCTTCGGAACCGAGAATCTGCCACCCGGTGTTGTGACACTTCTAACTGCCACTTTCCACCGCCAAGCAGAGGCGCGATGCTGGCGCTCTGGGAAGGATGGAGATGAGCTTTTCTTTGAGGGAGGAAAGTCTCCGCAGACACCTGCGTCAATTTGCAGAACCTCAAGCGGCTCTCTCTCTGCTGGCCCTGGGAAGGTGGGTTCCCTAGATAGCAGAGCTGACAAAAGGGTCAAACGAGCACGAAAGGCAAAGGCACCCACCCCTGCCGCCCAGTTCGGGGTGCCTCCTCCACACGAGGCCTCTCCCCCTCCCCTTTCCTCAGCAACCTGCAGATTTCCAGTTCATCCCGCAGCCTCGCAGAGTCCAGAGCGCCGAGAAGCAGAAGAGAGCCGGGAGCCGGCCGGGTAGCGCCTCCAGGCTGTGGTCACGCTCGGCCGGGGAAAGCCGCGGTGCCCTCGCCTTTCCTCCCCTCCTGCCAAATGGCAAGTAGGTTCGGTCCTCTTCCATTCACATTATGAGGCAAGCGTCTCTCTTTCTCTACTCCTCACCCAAATACTCTTTAAAAAACATTGTCCAACTGTGTTTCGCAGCCAAGAGATCCCCGGACTCCTAAGCCTTTGCTTCTTTTGAACCCTTACATGCTGCTGTCCAGATGGGGACCAGGTTTAAAACTCCTGACGTGTAGGACATTTGCAATCCGTGGCACGCTCTGATTTTTGCAAATAGGGTTCCCAGGAAAGTTTGCTTTCCATTTTGTCACTGTGACGGTTCTCCAACTCTCCTTTCCCTGTAACCTCCGCCCTCAAGAGTCAAGAGTTCAGCTTCAAACGAAAAGAAAGCCAAGGCCACCTCGGTCCCTTCTCGAGACCTAGAGATCCCTTCTCTAAACAGCTGCCTATTTTAAAGGCCAGGGACCGACTCTAGCATTTGTCCTGGAGTGGAGCAGGGAACACGCGGCCCGGGGACTGGGGGCTTTGCTGGAGGGTATGAGGCTAGGGAAGGGAGAGGGAGCAAATGTCATGGCTGGTTCGCTCGAGCAGCCAGAGAACCGGAGCTAAGCGTATCCTGACGGGCTCTTAAAATGACATTGATTGGAACAAGCTGTTCCCCACCCCGGTAAGAGTTAATCTGCCTGTTAATCAAGGCACTAAGGGGCTCAATGCGAGTTTTATTAGCGATTGGAGAATAGAGGCAGCAGTGAGGGATCAAAAGCCGGGATCCCAGATATTTGTCAGCCCGGACACACACACACACACACACACACACACACACACACACACACACACACACACACAAGTATTTTCAATTAGAGAACAATTCGGCGCTTTTCATCACGTCCTAACTCAGTCTCACAGATGGTGACTTACAAACCTGGCTAGCGGGGAAAACCGAAATCTGGGGCCAGCCATGGGGAGAGAGGCAGGGGAGGAGCTGCAGGTTGGTTCGCGGAGCTCGGCCGGCCGGGGGGAGTTTAAGAATCCTCAGCCTAGGCCCTTGAAGCCTCAGATTCCTCCCGAGAGGAGAGAGAATGAAAAATGAAACAACAAATAACGCCACCAATATCGGCGGCATCCATTCCTCTCGGTGAGCTCCCCACTGCTCAGGCCAGGCTCTGGCGCCGGGTGGTGTCTGGCCCCCGCGCGCCGCAGCCGGGCGGGCCAGAAAGTTTGCGCAGCGAGAGGGACTCTCCTTCCATCTCTCCCGCGCTGCCCCCTTCCGCCCCGGAGGGGCGTTAAGTCCCCTCCGGCTTTCCTTTAAAATTCTAAAATAAATAAATAAGTGAACGCCAGGCCCTGGGGATGTTTGAATAGTAGCTCGCCTTCAATAATTCAAATTATATGAGAGGGTCCGAGGAGAAAAAGACCAGCCAACCACTTACGCCCTCTGATCCAGGAGGGCATGGGAGTGAGAAGGCGACAGAACAGGTCCCCGGCTTGCTCTGGGCGCGGCGTGAAGACCCTGGTCAGAGGTAATTATGTCACTGCGTTTTCTCGCCGTGACAGCCCGAATAAACACAATCTCCAATAAACATCTCTAATGAGGGAGGAGGCTCGAGGATGGCTGGGTTTGATTTATGACTAGAGGGGAAGGTCCACTTCCCACAGCTAAGTGGGCAACCTGCTCGCCCCTCAACTCCGGAGAAAGGAACCCGAGGAGAGGACCCAGATTCAGGTAAGGTGCTCGGCCGGGCGGCCACTTTTCTCGTTCCCTTGCTTGCTTCCCGGGAGAGGTGGGCAGGGGGCAGCCACCGGTCGGAGTTGCAGTGGTCCCAAGCACCTGTCATAGGTGCCTGAGATACAAACGTCCTACAAAGATTACCACTTAGAAGGTTTAGGAAGGGGGCGCCAGGAGCAAAAGTGGGAGTGAGGGGCGAGCTCGGGCCTGACTCAGAGGCCTCCCCAACCTCCAGGAGGGTGCTCCCGGCCCAGGCGTTTCCGGCCCTTAGGGGCTGACTTCCTTCAACTTTGGCCCCGCAGAACCACGAGCTAGCCTAAGTATTGGGTCTTCTCTTCCCTGACCCACGTTGGAGAAACTTCTGGCACCCTGCCTAGTCCGTCCGGGGGCAGGAGAGTCGCGGGGCTCTGCTCTCCCCGGCACTCAGTGGCCCGACCCCCCTGGCGCTCACAGGCTTCCCACCGAGGCAGCGAGCGCAGTGCCGGCGGTAACCCGAGCCCGCGTTCTAGCTCAGTGAGAATCGCTAATTATTAGGTCTTCCGAAGGGAAGCTCAAATCACACGCTGGGGGCTTTACGCGCTGCCCAGCTCCGCCGGCAGCATTCTTTAGTCCTCGGCTCGTTTCTGAGAAACGAACTTCCATCTCTAAGACTTTGTGTCGGTCCGACCATCTACACTTTGCAACCTCGGGAAACTTTTGCTGCACTTCGCCGGGTAGGCGGCGGGGCGTTTCCAAACGCTCCAGGCGCGGATGGGGACGTCTCCACGCGTGAATGTTGTGAATTGCGACTCCGGGAGTTCTAGGTGCAAACTGCATTCCCCCCCGCCCCCCGTCCTGTATTTCTCAAGGTAGCGAACGGCTTCTGCAGACAGTAGCAGATCCCGGTCTTCCTCCCCCGCCCCCCTTACCCCAGCTCAGCACCCAACTGGAAGTCCACTCTAGGGACTGGAACAGTTTGCTACTTTTGCAGAAAAGCACACTCGGCAAAGACAAGACACCCCCTCCTCCCCTATCTGATTCCGCCCTTTGTAACTCCCCTCCATCTTTGTATGCCCCCTTTTAAAAGCAAAAATCAAGCTTCTGGGCTACTTGGGGAGGGCTTGGATTTGGGGGCACCAGTCGCGGGCAGCGGAGAGGCGGCGCGGACCCCGAGCCGGGCGGGGGCCGGAGCCCGGGCATTTACCTGGGAGCGGAGGGCGGGGAGGCAGGTGAGCCTGGCGGCGCCGGTTCCCACACTTCTCACCGCCGCTCGGCAGGGGAAGTGGCAGATCTGACAGCCGCGTTCTACGCGAGGACCTGCCCCAGAGTTTAAATGTCAATGATAAGAAAAGAGGGTGCTCAAGCAGGCGCTAACTTTCCTTAATATCCATGCCAGCTCGGTTCTCATTGGCTGCCCGACCCTCGTGACGTCATGGCGGCCAGAGTTGGGCTCAGCTCGGTGCCCATCAGCGCTCAGGCCCGGCGGGAGCCTTCTCCTCCCCACCCCGAATCCGGCCCACTCCAAGCCCTGCGGTGGCCCTTGGCTAATCTCGCCCAGCCCGACCCCAGCCGGACCCGTTTTCCCTTAGGGCGTTGAGCCACCCCCCAAAAAACTAGTCTTACTGAGCGCGCTCTTCCTCCTCTCCTGGAACGCGGGTCCCTCCTCTAGGCTGGCAGCTACCTTTCTGGGTGCCCACCTGGCCCCCTCCTTCGATCCCCGAGGGAGTCACTTTATCAGAGAGACACGAAGATTGCACCGGGGTTGAAAAGGTCCTCTAGCAGGAATCGTTTTTCAAGGAGTGATGGGTACCTTAAAACTGGCCTTTGAGCTTACAAGTCACCAGCTAGGCATAGGCGGGGTCTCCCGGGAAGGAATGAGGGACTGCTTCTCCTAGGCTAGGCCAAATTCCTCTCCAGGCCCTCTGGGTTCTCCTGAGGGGAGCCACAAACCGCACCTCCGCTGGCTTCCCGCGCCTCCTTGGGTTGAAAGGCTCCAGTCACGTAGAAAATGTAGGTGACTTTATTAATCTTTGACTTGGGACTTAACTATTGCCTTTGTGGCCTAGAGGAGGAAAATAGGAAAGTCCCAAATTCTGAAGTCAAGATTCCCCCGCCCGGGGCCCAGGAAACCACAGAAATTGGCGCGGGGCCGGCAGGATACTGACCTGGTGGTCTGTGCTTGTTTTCCCCATACACCCAATGTGGATTGGGAGATCACTTCGTAGAGCCAGGCCTGCCTATCTTGGGATGGGGACCTAAACCTGCGTTGTGATTCCCGGGTCTCTCCCCCCTCAACAGGGGAGGGGGCTTCTCAATGTCCATTCCCTTCGTTCTCAGCCTCCATCCGGGTCTCGAACTTGGAAGTGACAGAGGTCCGTCCATGAGGGCCAGGGGCGCTTGACGAGGTGGAGGGAGGGGAAGTGGTGGGGCATGGATTGGCCTTTAGGCAGCTCGTGGGGCGCCTAACCCTGGTAGACCCGGGTGTGTGTGTGTGTTGCGGCTAGGAGGTGGACACCTAGGCCGGAGGAGGGCCGCAGAGCCAGTTCCTGCTCACCTTGCTTGGGTGGGAGCAGCAAAAGGACAGCGGGCACAGATGGCGCGCTTGAGAGGTCGAGAGGTTCCCGCTCCGCCCCGGGCACACCTGGATAGGTGTGGGGCTTCGCAACCAGCCGGGAGGCGGCTCCAGGCAGTCTGCCTGCTCGTTCCTCTCCACCGGACCAGCCAGCTCAGTGACGGACTAGATTTTTTTTTTCTCTCAGCCCTGAGGGCAGGGTAGAGGTGAGGAGGGGAATGGGAGCCTGTAGGCAGAATGGTCTAAGTGTGGAGTTCTTTCTTATTTACAAGCGGTACCCACTATTCTCCCCATCCCAACCCCCTGGTCTTCCAGTGTCAGGGGCCAGGAACATCCATCCTTCCACCGGCCACTCAGCCAGAACCCTGCTGTGGTCCTGTCTCCCCAAGCCCAGCTCTGCTGGCGAGTGGTACTCAGAGGTGTGTGCTAGGGTTTCTCCACCGCCACCGGCCTTCTCCTGTGACCTAGTTTCTTGGCAAGAGCTCTAGCTCTTCTCCAGGACCTGGTCCAGTTTCCGGCCCCAGATGTCTGAGGTGTCCCCGGCTCCAGGGTCTGCCGTGGAGTTTGAACTGCGTGTAGGCCCCGGGCCTGAGCAGGCCTCCCTAGCTCCGTAGTTTGTGGCAGCGGCTCTCGCCCCACCCGCACCCTCTGTCCGGAACGGAGGCCGCCTGGAAGGCTGCTCCGTGATTGTTTGTAGTCCAGGCCATTAAATGTGCGCGGATCCCTGCAACCCGGCAGGGTGCTCAAGAGCGACGCTGGAAACGCCACGGCCCCGGCCTTCTTATCTGCCTGTCAATAAAGGGCGCGCTCGGGAGGCGCGGGAACGCCGGGCTGTGCAGGCGAGGCCTGGCTAGGCCCTTCCGCGCTCCGGGCCAACGCACGAGCCGCTCTCCATTTGCCCCGGGCACAGAAGGTTGGGCGGCAGGAAGCTCGCGCTGGGGTCGCACCCGGGAGGGTGCAAGTTTAGCTGCTGCCGAAGGTTCGTCTCCCGGGTAGCTCTTGACCCGGGAGCCTGCCACCGGCCTTGGGGGCCCGGCCCGGCCCCTCGTAGAGCCCAGCCTGCGAGACTCGGCCTTGCCCCGCCTGGGCAGAGGTCGACTCTCTAGGCCGCATCGCCCAGCAGTTCGGGCAAAGGGCAGCGCGGGCGGCTTCGGGGCGTCATCGACTTGTAACACCGGGATGCGGAATGCAACCGGAGGCGGACTGTAGGTGGGGTGCAAAGGGCCAGAAGCAGGAATCCTCCGACACATAGGGCAGTCCCAAGCTCTGATTATTCGCAGTAGCAGCAAGCGAGCTCGGCAGTCGCCGGGTCTGCGGGGGTTCCCTGGCCTAGGACTGCTGTGAAGCCCAGAGCTTCCCTTCCAGCTCACCAAGGCGAGGTGGGGAATGGGTAAGAGGGTGAAGGACCTGAGATGGGGGAGTAGGGGTGGAGGAAGGGAAGGAGAGGAATGGTCAGAGAGCAAGGCTCGAATGCAAGGAGACAAGGCACTGGGGAAGATAGAGAGAGATCCGTCCTTGGTTTGAACTGTAGCTGAGATCTGTAGCTCTTGTCCAAGGTATGTTCTCTCTCTCTCTCTCTCTCTCTCTCTCTCTCATTTGTCCTATTTTTATTTTCATTTAATAAAACTG